AAAGTGGCAGATTATACTCTTCGGTCTTCTGAAAAATCCACCGCAGGGTATGTATGTAGTCTATGGTACTGAAGCCTTTTCGAAATTGGCTTGTTCGGGAGGCTGTGTCTGTGTGCGAGATGATTCGTAATGACTCTCGAAAACAGCACGTAGACGCGGCTTAGAAGTAAAATCGGTCCGTGGTTCTTCAATAGAGCATTGTCACCTTTTTTGAAGAACGAGACCACCGCACTTCTGCTCCAGGCCTCCGGAGTGGTGCCACCATGGAGGACGGAATTGAAGTGCTTCTGAGGGACTTTAAGTCACCAGTACTTAAAGTCCGCCGTTCCACCCGCTTATTGGGAGTCCGAACACACACACTGGATCAGCGCGACGAAGTAACTTTTTAACCCTCTTAGAGATGAGAGGAGCTTAATGCCCTACTGTAGGTTGTCTAAAAGCTGTAACATTATATTTTTATAATAGCCATCTAAGACCCCTTTAAAAACCTCATTAATATTTTTAAGTACTACTTTTTAAGTACAATTGTCTGTATTTCACGTCTTTTCAAACAGTGTTTGACGGAGATACTATTATGATAAATCAATAGAATCAGGCGTTACTTTGCGAAAATTCATTATAGAAAAGTCTTAACGGTCGGCCACCGCAGAGCCTTCTTCATTTTAGGTATTATCGACGATGGTGTGTCTTTCCTAATGTAGTGGTGTTGTGGGAAGTAGTGCTGGGAGAAGTGATGCTGGGATTGGTGGTGACGGATATAGTGCATATAATTGAAAGAGGTTGGGAGGTGCTATTAAGTAAGACAAATCATTTTGTTTTATTACGGGGATTTTAGCAAATTAATTTTAAACATGTTTAATAATAAAATAAATAAAGGATTCTTTTAAACATAAAAAAGGTATTAACATAAAATTCACTTATTTTACTTTTATACGAACACTAGAATTTTGTTTTGCTGAAAAATCCATTAAACGTTTATTTATGTGCATTATCTCCCATATTTTTCCCCAACTGCCTATGTCAGGGACGGAAGAGCAAACGTAAAACTTTTTTATGCTTTTGTGATAAGAATTAATGCAACAGTAAATTTTTTAACTTACTACAACAGTTAAGTAATCATTATCTTTGATGTGATTGATTTTATTCGATATATTTTCCATATATAAACCAATTTTAATATTTTTTTTTAAAAATAAATATTCTATATTTCAAAGGTGTTCCCGTTTTTAGTTTGAAGAAAACAATCTTATTTTCAAAGGGTATAAGTGATGAAGAATTTTTTAATATAACTTGTCATATTGCTTTCTAATTTTTTCCTTTATATTTCATAACAAACTAAATGGTGTCAAAAATATGATATTCAAAAAATGGAAGCTGATTTCAAAAACTGTCCATGCCAAAGCATAGTATATCCATGATATTGTGACCCGAAATTCGAAACTTCAAAATTCTGTGCATTTTTTTAAATTATTTATACCTAGTTCTTTTAAAGTCAGTTTTAAATTGTTTGAATTTCATTCATACATTATCGTTATTTTTATCGGAATGTATCACTATTTTCGTCAAAACTTTAATAACTACGTTAAGAAATTCTTTTCACCCAAGACTTAGAGCAGTGGCATCTCATCTGCCTGGAACCCATTGTCCAGTTCAGGTTTGAAGGCTAAAAGAGGCGGTAAAATATAGAGTAAGCAAGGTTGTCCATTGAGAGGTGCAGTATAATTACAGTAAGTGGCCTTTCCATCCCATTCCATCCCATCCATTCCTTTTTACGAGGTAGAAGGACTCCTTAACTGCCAAGGTATTCATCAGGTTGGTAGTCAGTAGGTAACACTCTCTTACCTACTTCTGCCGCCTACAACGCACCTGTGGCGTTCTTTGTTTGAAGTTTATTAGATTTGTCAATGAACTGCAGCAGTAATTATTATAATGTGTATAGTAGTCATATAGGAACTATAAGTAAAGAAATATAAGTTGGCATAAGCATCATTTGTTTGAACATGGTTACAGGTGTTCATGGACTAAGATGCATCTTAGTCATCGATGAACTTTAAGATAGTTTGTCTCTGTTTATAGTAAAGAGACTTTTTGTCTTTTTGTCTGTGCGTTTATGCGCGCTATTCTCCCTAACAGGTGAATCAATTAGGATATGGTTTATAATTATGTATTAAGATAAGCTTAAATAAAAGCTTATATACAGTCATTGCCTTATATAAATTGGTTGACAAATAGAATAAAAATGTAATTTTAATATAATTCTCCACGTGCAAGTTAAAGCGGGCTATACAACATTAACCTTAAGCTTCTTTTTTTTTTTTTTTGTATGTTAGGTTTAAAAACGCTACCTTGCTCCTCCCAATTTACAAGAAGTATTAGCTGGGAAAGTTTTTGAAAACCCAACGTATTTCCACAAAGATATATTTCGGTGGACACTAGCCAGGGCGGTCGCGAGCACTCAATTGTTAGTATTTGTTATGTTATTTGTATTGTTATTATGATTCGTGTTTCTGCCTGTACTGTTTTATGTTTAAAAAAATTATTTTTTCTTGCACAAAAATACATTTAAATAGTTTTCCAGAGTTTCAAAAGAAAAGTGAAAAGCCAAAATATATTGCATGCGGACATACTTAAAATGAATTTCATAACAGAGAAACATGGAATTGGTACTCGAAACGGCTCATATATATAATACAGAAATTAGACCAATATAAACATAGCTTTTTAAAAATAACCTTATTTCCAATTACAATTTTTTTTGTAAAAAAATTATGGTTAAATTAACAGATTTGAGAAATACGGTATTAGCAACAGTAATATCATCAAAATAATAATTGAAATATCAAAAGCTGGCGATTACCAACCCGTCTGCCAATCGAGCCAAATATTGCAGCAGGGAGCTTAAAAGGAATATAATGAATAAATGAATGAAAATACTATGTATTATGTTGTTGTTACTTTATATAAATCTCGACCGTCTTTTATTTGTTAAAAAAAACTATTTATTTTTCAAATATCAATGGAATTTGAATATTCACATAGAAAAGAAATTTAAAAGCAATTTTCGAGCATAAGTTCAAAATAAATTAAGCGAGCTTTTGTTTTTGATGCAAACCGTCGTTGATTTCGGCTAACGAGAAAACAATATCCCGCATGCAGTCGCAGCCTAATAGAGCAGTTTGTTTCTTTTCGGAAAACCGCACTGGACGGGTTACACGATTTAGGAAAGTTTTTCTCGTAGAAAAAATACTTTCTCTACTAACTTTATGCCCTCACTCGCCGAAAGCTCAAGGGCTATCCGTTTTATATAACGTCAGCAGTAATTAAATCACATATAGCAATTTTAAGCGCTGAATTACCACGTTATGCGCGGTGAAAAGTTAGTGAGAAAATCAGTTTTTCTAAAAATCTAAATATTTCGAGGTCATGTGGAGTCCATTTACACCTACTGCAATAGTGCGTTAGACTTACATCATAAGCCTCCCAGAACGAAGAGTAATGATATAATATCTTTCTGGCCTATCCCGTAGTCACCTCTTACAACACCCAAGGAACGAAACGATGCCATGTCATGGAGACGTCCCTTTAGTGTCGTAAAAAGCTCCTATGGGATATGGCAAAATTAACTAATTACTTATAATAAACCAAGGTCTCAAAATTATATTTTCCATACATTATCAATTAATTCGCTTGTAAAATGAACTGTTGAAGTAAGCGATTATTTATTATTATGTATTTAAGTAATAAATTTAAAGAAGCAATATAAATTTTCTGTTTATATTTTCCTACGTATTCAAAGTCCTACGTACGCAGATTTATATCAAACAAAATAAGAAACTTCAATGGGCTCTGTTTTCTTATCTTTAATTGAATTTTTAATGGAGCGCTCCAAGTCGCCGATAGAGCAATAAATCATTCCTCTTTATAGAATGGATGATTCTGGCAAAATTTGTGTTATGGAAGAAATTGAAGTTGTCGATTAGCATAATTACCAATCTGAAATTAAAAATATGTTTGTTTGATAATGAAATAAAAAAATCCGTGAGAGACTATAAGCCATGATATGGGTTAGAGTTTTTTTCCCATGAATATTGCCAATTTAATTTTTGTAACAAATAAACGAACGTTTATACGCTATAGAGCCATGCTGCAGCTATATTATGATTGTATCGCGAATGGGTCCACTCGTCCAGGGCTCGAACGTAAAATAGCAGCTTAATGCTGCTGTGTTTCGTATAATTAAGTACAGAGAATCTGAGACCCATTTTACTGAATAAGCGGCATTTCATCTCAGTTGTTAAGAGCGAGCGACAACGCATCTGCATTTTGATTCTTAATCGCGGATGTCTATGGGCCAGCGAATTCACCTACCATCAGGTGGACTATCTGCTCGTTTGTTATCCTCACTCTTATAAAAAAAAATCACAGTCCAGTAGATGGTGACAACTACGATTTAGGGAAATCTGCGGCCAAATTCTAGCAAATAAGGCTACAGTTGCGTTGTCACCTCTTGGAAATAAGATGGAATGCCTCCCAGCCTATATTTATATTGGTTCTATACTCTTGGGAGCGGCGAACACATATGCGACAAGACACTCGACAGAGCAGTGCACCGCTATTTAGCCGCAGAAATATGGACATGTGATGGATTTTTATGATGTGATGATGATAATGAAACATGCGTTTAAGTATTTATCTATCTGTAGAAAAACGAACTAAAATAGATCAAAAAGGCTTGCCCGGATATAGCTTAGTTGATCAATGACACAAAACTCATTTCGGACGCCTGTATTATTACTAACTTTTCACTATTTTTTAAATGTATATACAATAGTTTCTAAACACAGTTTTTCTGGTTTAGGAAATAAAATTACAGTACTTATATAAAGTAATTATATAAATACAGAACATAAGTTGTTAACAGAGCCTAAAAACTACGTACGAATTTTGTTTCACCAAATAAAATACATTAATTTTAGGTAATAAAAATTATTTATGTAGTAATGATTGCGAGATATTTATATTTCATTTGTCTAACCAACAGTGAGTACACGAAAATTAATCAAATACCTCATATTTATAGCAAGTAAACACGGTACGTTGTACGTACAACATTCTTATTTTATGCGTGTTAGAGCCACGCCGCAGGAATATTATGATTGTAAAACGAATGGATCGGTTCAACTAGACGTAAAAACTAGTTTGATGCTGCTTGTTTCATAAGGTGTGTGATCACAACCGGAGCGCTTTTTTACCGGAAACGAGGTGTTCCATCTCAGTTTTCAGGGGTGGCAACACAACACAATCAAGTAAAGTATGTGCTCGTTTGTCACCCTTATTTTATATTATATTCTTTATCTAAAATATAAAAGTTTTAAAAGCAATAATTTTTAATTGTTGTTTTATAATTTACTTTTGTGAAGCTTCGTCAGATTATCATCTTTGGCTGCATCACCACTAATCATCAGGTAGGATGGTAGTCAAGAACTGGCTTAAAATAGCTAAAAATATTGAAAAGAAACGTAATCAAAGTAATATTTGGGAGACTCACTACAGTATATCAACGACTGGAGCATGAATGTATCGGCTCGACTGTGAAAGAAACAAACTCACGTAGATTAATAGCTCAAAATAACATCGTTATGTTGCTGTTTTTTTATATGAAGATTTTGTATATTAGAATTTTTAGACGGAGACTCCTCGATTCACGATTTTTTCTTTGATTTATTTCGCAAACACAATATGTTGATTGAAAATAGTTTTTTTTTAATATTTCTGACTTTTCTTTTTAATATTTCTGACGTACTTTGTATCATCCGTAGTCAAGGGATTAATAAAGTGTTCAACGCCCCAATGTCAATAAAGCACGGCTTCCTTCAACTAAAAAATTATTAATTTTTGCCCGCTATACGCAGAAATAACTTTTGGTGTCTTGAACTCTTGCAGGGGTGTGCTTGAGTTGGGATTTAATTTTAATAATTGTAAAATCCCAATCGCAACATTATTATTATGACCTCTCTGTGGAATAGTATACCACCGAATATTTTTCCGGACCGATTCTGACCAGACGACTTAGGGACCTTCAAGAAAAAAGCTTACTTTTACTACCTTTCTAAACCTACTTTAAGGTACCTACCTTTCTAAAAGGCCAGCAACGCACCTTCAATTCCCCCTGGTGCTACAGTTGTTCATGGGCTGCGGTAGTCACTTAACATCAGGTGAACTGTATGCTCATTCTCCTATAAATATGATGGTAGCACCCTGCGTTATTCTCTATTGAAATTAGTATGTTTAAAAAATCAATAGCTTCTCAAATTACCTTACGTAGGTATTTGTCTTGTTTTGTAGTCTATTATAATCTAATGTAATAACGGGAGCGATCCTGAACATGGTAAACTGCAGGCTTCCTGAAGAATCAATTATTCATTCTTCATTTCAGCCTTTTTTATAAATAAAAAAGTACCCACATTTCAACTCGGAGATTACAACGCATCTGCGTACTGATTAATGGTCGAGTTTAGATGAGCGTCTATGTACCACGGCATTCACTCACCATTATGTATGGCCTTTAAGATGGTTTGCTAAAATTACTTCAATATAACGTAACAATTGTAATTAAAATAAATAAAAATTAAAAACGATAATTTAAAAAAGGCAGATGGTGCGGTCATAGTTAAAAAATCTAAACGTAATTCATTGTCACCTGTTGAGCTACGATTAATACAAAAATCTACAATGCACGTATAATTGCTAAAAATAGACCTGGATGAATATTCCCATCAGAAGAGAAATCTATGAACAACTATGAATCCTATTTGAGAAATTAATTATAATTAAGTGGTATTATCTGATTAATAAATGCTGTGAACAGTGAATAGTTATTATGTGGTAGATTAGCTAATTTATAATAAGGGATTCGTCTTCACGCTTCGTCCGAGTCAACAGTGTTTTTAACGTCTCCGTTTAAATATTCTTGAAACCCTAGTAAATGTTTATTTTTAATAATAAAATTTACATCAGTTTAAAGATAACAGTTTGAGCTCTCCGTTAGTAACGATTTAAATCTAAATTAAGTGAGTGATTGGTGAATAATAGACAAGTTGCGCTGGCATATTATTAGATTATCTGAGGTCCGAAGAGAGGGGGAGGACACGGTAATCCTCGAGTCCGGCAACTTGTTCTATCACCGGGAGGGCGACCATCTGTCCCAAAGAGGTGTCGGATTTATCGTCCACAAGTCTCTCGTCAACAACGTTGTAAAGATTGGGAGTGTGTCGACGAGTACGCGACGCGTACCTGATACTCAGAATCACCAAACGGTATTCGCTGAAGGTCATACAGGTCCAAGCACCAACCTCGGCACATCCCGATGAGGAGGTGTAGGAAATGTATGAGGATATTTCTAGAGCCATGCATTCCTCCAAAACCACACACGGTGTTGATGGGAGACTTCAACGCAAAACTAGGCACAAGAGAAGGCGGTGAGCTGAAGTTAGGGAAATTTGGAGTAGGGCAACGGAACCGTAGGGGCCAGCAGCTGGCTGACTTTATGGAGAAAGAGGGACTCTTTATGATGAACTCTTTCTTCCAGAAGCGGCCCCACAAGAAGTGGACCTGGTCGAGCCCCAAAGGTTTGACAAAAAATGAGGTTGACTTCATTATGACGACCAGACGCCAGCTGTTCAGTGATGTCTCAGTGATCGCAAGGGTGAAAACTGGCAGCGATCACCGAATGGATAGAGGCACACTGAACCTAAACGTTAAGTTGGAGAGGTCTCGTGTAATGAGGTCAACGCTCCGTCCCCCCTCGTGCTCTAATCCAGAATCCCGAGACTTTTCAGCTCGAGTTACGTAAACGCTTTCAGTGCCTAGAAGATTGCAATGCAGTGGACGATATGAATGACAAGCTCGTGGAACTGTCCATGCGGTCAGAGCTAATTTCTGCAAGGTCCGCCGCAGAAGAATACAAAATCTCTCCGATCACACTCTTAATCTCATGGCTGTTAGACGGGAGATGAGGCTGCAATCGTCAACAGATTTAACAGCATAGAGGCAACTGAACAGACAGATCTACAAATGCATGCGGCAAGACTTAAGCAACTTTAATACTGCTCGTATTAAAGAAGCGATCGAGCGGAACCAGGGCTCCAAAGTCTTTGCCAGAGATCTGTCTGCTAGAAAGAGCCAACTGTCAAAGCTGAAGACTGAGTGTGGCAGCATCGTTTCCGGGACACCTGAGATTTTGAGTGAGATTGAGAGGTTCTATGGGCAGCTGTACACATCATCGTTAGAGCCACACGCAAGTGTGAGTAACGATCCAAGAGCAAGTCTTACCCGACACTATTCCGATGATAACACGGACGTCAGTCTGAGCGAGATTAGAATGGCTCTCCAGTACCTTAAAAACGGCAGGGCCCCAGGCGAGGATGAAATTACAGCGGAGCTTCTGAAAGCGGGTGCAACACCGGTACTTGAAGTCGTTCAGAAGCTCTTCAATTCCGTCCTCCATGGTGGCACTACTCCGGAGGCGTAGAGCAGAAGTGCGGTGTTCTTATTCCTCAAAAAAGGCAACAACGCTCTCTTGAAGAACTACAGACCGATTTCCCTTCTGAGCCGCGTCTACGTGCTGTTTTCGAGAGTCATTTCGAATCGTCTCGCACGCAGACTCAACGACTTCCAGCCTCCTGAACAAGCCGGTTTCCGAAAAGGCTTCAGTACCATAGACCATATACATACTCTGCGGCAGATTGTACAGAAGACCGAAGAGTACAATCTGCCGCTTTGCCTGGCGTATGTGGACTATGAGAAAGCCTTTGATTCCGTCGAAATTTCGGCGGTGCTACAGTCCCTTCAGCGGTGCCAAGTTACTGTCGGTATATCGAGGTGCTGAAGTGTTTGTACAGTAGGGCTACGATGGCTATCCGAGTACAGAACCAGAGTTCGAAACCTATCCAACTGCAGAGAGGTGTAAGACAGGGTGACGTTATATCCCCGAAACTCTTCACCGCTGCGTCGGAAGATGTTTTCAAGCTGCTGGACTGGATAGGATACGGTATTAACATCAATGGCGAGCACATCACTCACCTTCGATTTGCCGACGATATAGTCCTTATGGCAGAATCGCTGGAGGACCTTAGCACTATGCTCAATGACCTCATAGGTGTCTCCCAACGGACAGGTCTTAAGATGAACATGGACAAAACAAAGATTTTGTTCAATGTCCATGTCACACCTATGCCTGTAGTTGTGGGGAACACTATGCTCGAAGTTGTTGACGAGTACGTTTACCTGGGACAAATAGTCCGACTAGGTAAGTCCAACTTCGACCGAGAGGTCAATCGACGGATTCAACCCGGCTGGGCAGCGTTCGGGAAATTACGACACATCTTCTCGTCAGGTATACCTCAATCTCTGAAAACTAAAGTGTACAACCAGTGCGTGTTGCCAGTGATGACTTACGGATCAGAGACGTGGTCCTTCACTGCTGGCCGTATGAGAACGCTCAAGGTCGCTCAGCGAGCTATGGAGAGGGCTATGCTCGGAGTTTCTCTGCGTGATAGACTCAGAAATGAGGATATCCGCAGTAAAACCAGAGTGACCTACATAGCCCAACGGATTAGTAAGCTGAAGTGGCAATGGGCCGGCCATATAGCTCGAAGAACCGATAACCGATGGGGAAGAAAGTTTCTCGAGTGGCAGCCTCGTACCGGTAGGCGTAGTGTAGGGCAACCCCCCACTAGATGGAGTGACGACCTGGTAAGACATGCAGGAAGTCGATGGATGCAGGTGGCTTAGGACCGTGCTTTGTGACATTACTTGGGGGAGGCCTATGTTCAGCAGTGGACTTGTGAAGGGCTGTAATGATGATGATGATGATGGTGAATAATAACAAGAAATAGTGCAAAGTTTCAAATATTCTTCGCAACGGCTGAGACGGCCGATTCATGGACGCCCCGCCTGGTCGGTCGGTCACTGACCTCACTAGCTACAGCGTGCTTTTTCCTACAACAAGCGTTGCTGCATCTTTCTATCTCTGTCAGCCGCTGCTAGTTGTTGCCACTTCGACTGTCTGCATTGTTTGTTTACGTGTGAGTCACTAAGCTTTAATTGCTTTATAAGGCTAAATCAGCTGTTTTTCTTTGTAGATGAAATTAAGTTTTTACAATTAGCAGTATGCCTAAATGCGGAGCTTTCGGCAAATTCCTGTCAAAAAGCGGACAGTATTCGTTGTAATCGCTCCGCTGCTTTCCACAAGGCATGTGTAGGAATTCCAGAAACTTCTTCTGTAAAGGGCGCGTGGGTTTGTCCCGATTGCAAATTAAAAAAACCTAGAGAGGACAACACTTCTACTCCTGTGAAGGGACTGGCTGATACATGCCAAAGTACTCGTAGTAGTACGAATAATTCAGCGGACAATACCACAGAGGAACTTAAGGTTGATCTGATCCTAGAAATTAGATCACAGCTCAAAGCCATTAGAGAGGAGGTTCACGAGTGTCGCCTAGAAATATCGGAGTTCAAGGCCACACTTAGTGCGTTTGAGATAAGAATGAGTGAAATAGAAACCAGGATTTCTGCTCTGGAGAACAAGAACTCCCAAATAGCATCCTCGTCAAACACTAGCGCACTCGAGGATACTATCACCGAGCTGAAAGTTCAACTTAATAACAGGGACCAGGAGCTCCTCTCCAATGACGTTGAAATATCCGGCATAACTGAGCTTGGAGGAGAAAACCTTATGTCAACAATTACAGTTCTATCTACGAAACTGGGAGTAACATTGATAAAAGAGACATTGTTAACGTGGAACGTGTTGGCTTAGTACGTCGCAATAGGGTGGAGGGGAGTACTTGCGACGATGATCTCAGCTCAATGCGTCCGCGCATTATAGCAGTGCGGTTCGCCCGCCGAGCGCCACAACCTCTCCACGAAAGACATCGATGTGATTGGCAAGCCGAGTAGCATATATATTAATGAACGTCTCACGCGAGCTAATCGACACCTCTTTTTCCTTGCACGTCAAGAGGGCAAAAAATGCGATTGGAAATATGTCTGTTCGAAAGATGGAAGAATAATGGTTCGTAAAGACAGTGGTGAGAGGGCGTTTCATATCCGTAGTGAAAAGGACCTTTCCAAAATTTTTTATTCGATCGTAGTTTGTCTCGATCGTAGCCTATCTTTTTTCTTTATACTGTATATAAACATGTATTTTTACTGGTACCTTATTTATCTGTGTCTCAAATTTATTCCAAGAATATTATCTTACCTTGTATATGATAATTTATACCCCACTGTAAAACAAATATATTTTTATTTTTTGGATATGCCTATAGGTTAGCCTATGGTTATGAACGTCTGTGCACTGCAGGAGCAACCTTCAGTTTAAGAATGTCCGTGAATTCTATTAATATATATTTTGTTATATCTATATACCTACCATATTATAAATATGTTATTTTAAGTACTTAATTTATATTTCAAAGTATTAAGTCTTTACTCGTATCTCATAATGTTTACAATTTTAATTTATTGCAATAATATAAACGGAATGAAAAAATGTTTTCCGCACCATACCGTATCAGGGTATTCTAAGCTAGTGTTTTATCATGATTTTATTTGTAGGCTTATTATTTTGCTCCATGGCTCGTAAAAACAATTTAACATTAAAATTGGCTTTTCATAACGCTGGGTCACTGGGTACCAATCATGACGATTTTATATCACTGTTTTCCATGCACAACATTGATATCATGGCTGTGAATGAGACATGGCTGCGGCGGGGTGAGGAGAGCCGTGCGCCCGAGGTTCCTGTGTACCGGTTACGTCACACGCCGCGCCCGTTAAGTGTACGTGCGGGTTATGGTGGAGGAGTGAGTTTTTACGTGTGAAGAGGACTAAATGCACGTACGTGTGTTTTGACTGTGGATCTTAAACCAGAAAATATTGAACAAGTGTGGCTAATACATAACATCCGAGGGAAAAAGATTCCACGACAAGACCTGGATCTGTTCCTGGATGCCGTAGCCAGCTCAATAGGGCCTTGGGGGATAATAACCACTTTATACTTATGGGTGACTTTAACGTCAATTTGCTAAACGAATCTGAAGTAAAAACAAAAAAATTAAACGATTGTCTATCGTGTTTGGGACTAAATCTCGACTAAGCTAGTTACTTCTCCTACTCATTTCACTAGCATATCCGAAACATTGATAGATCTAGTTTGCTCAGACTTAAAATCGAAGCGTATGTCTGTATTTACGGCTGGTAATTTATATGGACATGCAATCATTGTTTGTGAATTTCATATCATAAAGGACAAGCTTACGCCTCAATTGGTGCACCGTTAGATAATATATGTTTAGATAAGTTTAATTTTGACATATCTAACTTGAACTTCAAAAATTTGTTTTCTTGTTTTGTAAATGAAATTGTTGATATCTTTAACCGCAACATCTTATTCGTGTTCGATGCGCATGCACCCATTAGGAAGAGTGTTTTAAAGGAGCCTTCCCCTCCGTGGTTTACAGATAATATTAGGTTTATGATGAAAGTTCGTGATGGTGCCTTGGCTAAGTACCGTAAAAATAAGTCGGTATCCAGTAGAGAGTACTACAAGCAGCTTAAATCTCTAGTGATATAATCATTACCTAATGAAAAAGCCGTATACTTTTGCCACAGCATTAATAACAAAATTTGTAATACAAATTCGCTTTGGAAAAATCAGAAAATGACAGTATTACCTCCAAAACAGACCGTAGAATTGCCTTCACACTTTAATGACGCAAATGAAATTAACAATTACTTTTTGGACGTACCAGGAGAACCACAAGCTTCACTGACTTATCTAACCGACTTTGAATTTCACAGGTTCGGCGATGCAACATTCACTATATCATCAGTCAGTCAGAACGATATTTTACGCGTAATTCTCAGCTTAAAATCAAATGCAATAGGAATTGACAATTTATCATTAAAAATGATAATCATGACATTACCTAACTCTTTAGAGATTATACATACAATCATTAATAAGTCAATCTTAACCTCTGCGTTCCCTGACCTTTGGAAAATAGCTATTGTTCGACCGCTCCCTAAGAACAATAACCCCTTGAGCTTAAAAGATATACGCCCTATTAGCATTTTACCATGCCTATCAAAAGTATTAGAAAAGATTGTCTGCCAGCAGCTTACGGATCATCTTGAGCAAAAGAACATTCTTCCTCAATTGCAGTCTGGGTTTCGTAAGAGACGTAGTACTACTACAGCTCTGATTGATGTAGTGGATAATATTCTGTCAGTCCAAGACGAGGGCATGTGCACCCTACTGGTGTTATTAGATTACTCGCGTGCCTTCGATGCCATAAATATACCTTTATTACTCTCCAAAATGAGCTTTTATGGTTTCGGACGTAGCACGCTGTCCTTCTTCAATAGTTATTCATCCAATCGAAAGCAATTGGTCAGTTTGTGTCGTGGGAATGAAACCTCTGTGGATTCTAACCTAGCACTTGTGAACAGAGGAGTGCCACAGGGTTCCATTCTAGGCCCTATTCTTTTTAACTTATATTGTGCGGACTTACCAAAAAATATTGTAAAATGTCAGTATCATAATATGTATGCAGACGACACACAACTTTACATCTCGTTCAAACCCAGTCAGTGGGAAACAGCAGTTAAGGATCTAAATGACGATTTAAAACGTGTCACTGTGTGGTCTGAGCATAACTGTTTACTATTAAACCCTGAAAAAACTAATTATATGATATTTGGGACAAAGAATCAATTAAATAAATTACCGGAAGATTTAGGCATTGTACTGAGCTCAAGGGGTTATTGTTCTTAGGGAGCGGTCGAACAATAGCACAACAATATTTTTCAAAGGGAAAGAAAGTAAAAAGGGTAAACATAGCACGGAACTTAGGTTTAAAACTTGAGGGCTTACGGTTTGAGGAACATGTTACCGAAGCTGTCAAAAATTACTTCTACCGGCTCAAAGTGTTATATAAAATTAGGCCGTATTTGTCGGCTGTCCAAGCTTAATTATGCTGATGCTGTGTATGGCCCACGACTACTGGCTAGAACGGAGCGGCTTGTACAGCGCGTTTAAAACGCTTGCGCCCGTTTTTGTTTCACAGTTCCTTTTCGGGGACACATCACTCCGTATTTTAATGATCACGCAATGCATAAAATGAAGTCGAGACAGAAATTGCATATGGCATGCTTGCTTTTTGGCGTCATAAAACATCAAGAACCATCTTACTTGTATAATGAACTTGGCTGGGTTGCTACAAGGAGGTAATGTGATAGAAGACAGTGCTCGCAGCAACTTTCGGTACAAACGCACAAATCGGTATCTTTCAAGGGAGCATTTCGCTATGCAGCCTCGAAAATATGGAATAACATACCACCACCTCTAAGGCAGCTAAGCTCTATAACTACCTTTAAAAGTCACCTAAAACAGTACTTGTTAAATGCACAAAAAGACCTAGGCATGGTTAACACTAATGCTAATATGTCCTATATCTGATGTTTATTTGAGAGGTACATTTTATGTTCTATATTTTATTTTAATTTATTTTATTTTTTATTTTTTGCTGATGTTATTATGTTGTTACAGTTTCACGCGCAGTATCTTGCTAATAATAAAGTATTTAATTAGTATCCTGTCATATATTATATAAATATTTTATTAATCTTTTATTAAATAAGTAATTATATATGTTTTTTTCATAGAGTTCACGTATACTGATTGTTCTTGCGGAAGTACACGGTAACTGGTTTTAGAGGTGAAGACGAATGCAATTTAGGGGGCCAATAGAAAATCAGCATTAGGTTAGTAATTGGTTCCTATCTTTTGGCATCACCCTGAGGCACTAGTTTTAAGAATATATTTTATGTATAATGTTTTTTCTTAATTTTAACTGGCTGTTTGGTTGTTCATAAATTGTAACTTTTTTTGTTTTGATTGTTTCTGTGTTCTGGTGCCTTGTGTGTGTCAAAAACAAATATTTTTTCTTTCTTTCTTTCTTTCTATAAATAATCTCTGGTTAGCTAGCCGCAAGACAAATAAAGTTTTATGACAACGAGTAACAGCAGTATGCTGCACAATTAAATTCATGGCAGCTTGATGTCACTGTTTTGTGAAGTTCTTTTAACAAACACCTAATTTCGTAACTAACGACTTAACAAAAAAAGTAACTCTATAGGCTTAATTTAACATTCAATTCCTGTTGTCAACAATGTACATAATCAAGTAGGTAATTTTTATGTTAATGAAATGGTTAACGGAAATAATACTTATGATTAAAAACGATTATAAACAATATAAAAGGTATAACTTTAATAATATATTTTTGTTAAAAAACACACTTGCAGTGATTTGATCAATATAAGGTATGAACAGTATAGATAGAAATACATACAAGTTCCAACTAGTTTAGATATTAAATTTCTTTAAAACTATACTACAGTAGAATAAGAGGGTATACAACTGGTATGATGGATAACAAAAATTTTTAACAAGATCTATGTTCCTCGGATCTATATAATCTGTTTAGTCAAATCGAAAGACTGAATCGAACCACTAAAAACCTTTGAGTTTTATCCTAATTTTATTTTTAGGATGTTAAAGGCTGAATCGCCAAATCCATTATTCAATTTAATCGTTAAGAGCCCTTTTGTATCAAACCAGGAAATAGGTCAGAGGATGAGGTATTAATTTTATTATTTTTTACAGGCCGTAAAGAAATGGCGTCTTATTGTATAAGAAAACTTGGGATTGGATGTCTGCATATGCACTTTATGTATGTAATATGCCTCCAC